ATAGACATTTATTATCGTGAATTGTGCCCTTAATTACACGAAGTAGGGAAGATTTGGTTAGGCCTAAGTTATTCGACTTTCTGGACCGGCAAATGGTGGATATATGAGTGAGGGCAACGACTAGTTAAAACCCTCTATCTTTTGCTCAGAGAAGGTAGAGGCCATCACGGTCATATGACCTAGTTTTGATTTGTGGCGGACGATGGCATGTGCTGACCCATACACAAATAATTTTCAGCCATCTGCCCCTTCCTTCATGGGTGTGTTACTTTGTAAAACCGTACCACTTCTTCTGGATCCTAGAATTACATAGATCAAGAAAGCTGCACTGACTCATGACTACAAATTCAGATTGTTAGTGCTCTAACGGCCGCAGGTCTGCATTCGTATCTTCGTGTAGTGTTTGCGTCGTTACTGAACCAAGGAAAACGGAGCGAGAGCAGACTATTTTGGTGCGGAGTATTTATACAAGTGAGTTTTCTTGAGGGTGTAGTATGAGATGCAGTTTAGTGGCTGTTTTCATAGTCCGCGAGCGAGCGCGCGAGCCGGCCGGGGGACTACTGATCCGGCGGTATCGACCTAGACTCGATAGTAAACAAAGGGAAGCGCCGAACCCGGTTTCTCGCTCGCGCGCTCGCGGGCCGGACGGCGGACTATGAAAGCAGCCAGCTAGAACAGACTTCTGGTACTGGGAGTAATGGAGTTCATTTCTTTCAAATAGCTTTTTAGATTGGATCATTCCTTGGCGCATCAGTCATGTTTCCTCTAGTCAACATATTTAACATATTCACATCAGCTCCGCCATGTCGGTAAATCTTGAGCCTATGGTATACGCCCATGGAAAATTGGGCTTTAATAGCCCTAGGTAAATCCATTCCCGATTAGATAGTTTTATATATTTTTGACTAAACCTACTTATAAGTATAGCTTAACAGTAATTGGTGATATGCCGCATTTGCCTTAGATAGAAGTTCGTAGCCGATCACGGACGTGCCCGCCGTTTTGTCGATGGCCATAGGACCTTGCGAATTCCGAAAGGTCCCATGGTCCAAATATCGGCGTGATATTTCTCTGTGGTCAGCTATAAACGCGATTTTGAGCAGTCGTATGTTCGCATTTCCTATCTAACACGCACTTTCATACTGGATTTTCATTGCTACTTTGCAATATCTTCTCAATTCTTCTCAAACTATACGTGTGAGTCTCGCTCATGCCATATCGTTATAGGTCTGCTAGTTGTTTACATGCTTAGTGTATTGTTCGTTATCTTGTTGACATAGATGCTTTCATGATTGTCAGGTTTACAACACAATCACTGAATCAGATTCTCAATCGATTGGTCAATTCCAACGAAATTTTACTGAGATATTTATTAAATAGTTGATATGGATGTAAGATCTGTCCAATGTCATACTGGTAATCGATTTGTATTGTTGCTGCTGGTAGTATTTCGAACTTGCGAGGCGACTTCAAATCCCTGAAAAAAAGTATAATTAGTTCTTCAAGTGGAAATTCATGATTTGGCCGCGTTGGGCGGGTTACTTAATGTGTTTTGATTGACTCCTATCTTCATTGAGGGATGGTAAAGTGTAGTGGCAAGTGGCGCACTATCACCCATGCATGATGCACGGTTCGAACCCCGGATCTATACTCCCCTTGCCAACCGAGCCTTACAACTCTCCTAGGTCGTTCAATTGATACCAGACTCGTCTGGGAGGATAAAAGCGCTGATTTGTATATCATCTGGCCACCGCAATGTATGGCCACATACGCATTCAAGCGCCACTACGATTCAGGAGGGAACTTGTATGCGGGGCGCACTCCTCGACGGGATTAATTGACGCCCAAAGACCTTGCTCTCTACGCTTTATTTCATTTACTATTTTGGATAGAATATAGCCAAATTGTAACTAACCTTAAAAAATCGAATCATGTCTTCTAAAGTGACAATACCATCACCATTACTGTCAAGTTCCTGAAAGTTGGGTAGTTTTTAAAACAATTCTGGAACGGTGGGCCATCTGTAGTACGAATGCTCACATTAAAAATTGTTGTTGCCCGTTGTTGCACAGTTTCCTTGTTTGCATCTTCATAATTATCAACCTGTTTTCCTTCGTTTAACCCGAATACTGATTGAGTAAATGAAAGGAATTCCTGCAACCGTTTTCATGATTTTTAGTTTTTGTAGAATGGAATTGTGTTGATATCATAAGATTGACAGCAGTTCTATACGTTAGTGGGGGAAAAGCCAACTCAACAGGCATTGATAAGGAGTCCAGGAGATGTTGATCACTCAGCGCTATCGCTGACCATCGTCTTCGTAATCGGGGGCGTAATCTTCAGGCATAAGGTCAACGACGTGAAAGAAGGGTGGGAGAAATGGCCCGCAATTTCAAATAGTCATCCTGACAGAATGAAACGGAATACGTTCCATTATCGATCGCAGGGGAGCCGCTCAGTGGCTCACTTGCAGACGGGAAGTAATGTCGTTCGAGGTCCTCAATTCGGATGGGTAGCTTCTTCAATTTGTAGTCCGAGATGTTGGAAAAATGGGGCGAGTGCGATTCGCTTCTCTCTCATTCTGTCTGTCCGTCTGTCTGTCCGTCTATCTATCTGTCTGTCTGTCTGTCTGTCTGTCTGTCTGTCTCTCTATTCGAGTTCCTCCCAGTTCTCGGGACAATGTGGAAGTTGTTATACAGATTCAAACTGAAACCAAATAGTAGGAGCCACCCACCACAAAGGTTAAAAAGAGCCGTGTCAATTATTCTCATACGTTGAAAGCTGCCTCCTGAGTTCGGTTGGAGTCCGAGCCCCAAGGCCGCATAATACGCGATCTTATGCGGAGAGCGTATGAGTTTAGCTTCTTTTCACTTTCCTTTGCATTTGGACTCGAACTCTAAGAAAACCATAATTAATCGCTCACCGGGAAGGCGAATCGGTCGACTTGGCATCCTGTAATGATGCGGATCGTCCAGAGTGCGTTAGATTCAGCTGTTTGAGGTTGTATAAGTGAGAGACACTCGATCAAATTCTGGAAAGAGTTGATTTGCCCCATTTTGCATTCACTAAAAGCGCCATTTGACCTGTTCCTACAGTACGATATTATTGATTTTGTAAAGGTGATGCATTGATTAGAGATGGCACTACCTAATTATTTATATTTTTTGTTTCATTATGATATAGTACATCGGGGAACTCGTCCTGCTCAAATAGTCCATTTATTAGCAGAAGCCGGACCAGTTGAATCACCACTGCTTATAGGAGCCCCCCCCCCTCCTGTTCCCGTCCCCCCAGGCAAGGCGATATGTAACTCAGCTTTCTGACGTATTCAAGTGATTTACACTTCTATAAAAAAAGTGGGGCTGAATTATGGCTAGGATTGTTCCCTTAAGAAGGTTATCGATGATGTTTATTGACTGTACTATTCTTGCTGCTCACTACGGTATAATTCTTAACTTCAGCAGCTTGCAAGGATACAGTGAGGAGAGTTTGGAGAGGATTTCCGCTGCTACCGAGCAGGATGACGGCTCAGTAGGCGATTGGGATTCACTCTTACGCCACTCTCTTCCCCTGCTTTTTGACATCTCCATCAGAGATGTCCATGGCGGTAATAGCCTCTTTAACAATTTAAGCAATTTTCCTCAATGCCATGCTCGACCCTAAAGTATGGGAGTTCTGGAATCGTTGCTTTCCCTGCGCCATCTTACGTTTCAGCTTGGGAAGAGGGGTTGGGAGTGAACTGTGATTAGCACTATTGTGCCACTTGAACACTTGGATATATTCTCAGTATACAAACGTAGGTCTTGAAGAGAGTCGCAGCCTAGTGGGTAGAGATAAAAATCATCCGGTTCTATTCTACTGATGTTAGATGCTAGACTAGGTCCTCAATGGTTTTACTTGGCTGAAAACTAGGAATCCCATCCATCTCAACTTATTTCTAGATAGTTCTGCTTTCTACTTACTTGGAATGTGACTGCTTTTTTGTCATCTGAAGAGAAAGCAAGGAATAGTCGTGTGAAGTACTGATCGGTTGCCCTCTCCGGGGCTATGATTGATGCGAGAACGTGACGGAATTCAGGCTCGAGCATTCGGCCAGTTGGACATTCCTGAAACGAAAAACATTAGTGGACATATCTTAATTATAAGTTCACGTCATGTTGCTGTCAGTGGTTTTTTGCTATGACTCGCGAGACTGTGAAGATGAACTTTTATTTTCCGTGGCTCAAGATCCCACATTGTGAGAAGAGTTACCTTTGACACCTTAAAGTAGATAAAATATAACTTGAAAACGTAAGCTTTACAGCTGATTTTCACGTCGCCCAGTGCTGCCTTTTTTGCAAACAATCTCTGTGGCGGATACTTATCTTGGTCAGTGCATGTAGAGATTCATGCATGAATTCACACACCCACACGCACGCAGCTTTTCTTTGACAGTAGTCTCGCGGAATCAAACTGTAGTGACCGTAATCACTCATCGACTACGACGCAATAATTCAGAGCTGACCCAGGGTATGGGCACTTACGTGCGTCCGAGGATGCGCGCGGCGAATTGCGCGGCGAAGTGGGTGGTGATTCGAACGACTCTGGCGCTTAGCATTGGGGCCCGAGCTCGAAGTAGAGTAGTTTAGTAGGGTTAGCTGATACTACTGATCTACTCTACTTCAAATTTGGGCACCAATGATAGGCGCCAGAGTCGTTCGAATCCCCACGCACTTCGCCGCGCAGTTTGCCGCGCGCATCCTCGGACGCACGTAAGTTCCGTCCCCCCTGACCCACGGGTGTGTGGCGATTCGTGCGATTGTGGGTGCGCGTGGCAAATTGCGCGGCAAAGTTCCGTGCGATTTGGACGACTGCAGAATTTATCATTGGGGCCCAATTTCGAGTGAAGTAGGTTAGTTGAATTGTCCGACCCTACTAAAGTACTCTACTCCAAGTTTGTGCCCCAAAGATAGGCGCCAGAGTTGTTTTAATCATCGCGAACTTCGCCTCGGCACCCAAAATCGCACGAAGCAAAGCGTATGCCCCAGCGACAATTGCGACGTCTGTCAAATATCGCGGGCTGACTCGCCGCGTGCGACGGCTGCGGCGTCACCTAGTTTCGACGGACAGCGCAACGAAGCGCACCCCCCCCCCCCCCAC